AACTTTTAAATAGTTGATTTGATATTAACATTGATATTCTTTTTTCAAATTTATATTTTATTCAAAAATAAAATCATTATTGTTTTCTTAAAAACACATAAAATTGTATTATAACTTTGACATAGTCAAATAATAAAATTGAACATTAAAATCGAGATGTATCTCGCTGCATTGCTCGAGTACTCTTCTAGTTTTCTATAAAGATAATAACTATACATTATGTTAAAACTTGGTGATTATCTTAATTATATTTTAGATTTTCTATATTTAAAATGAATGTTTATCTTGTATTTGACAATGTTTATCTGCGGTTAGTTACACGAATTTAAAAATAGAGCTTTAATAAGTTGTACTTACGCAAAATTACTTGTAATCTTGAATTTTAAGTAATATGCATCAATAAACAGTACTTCATGCAAAAAAAATGGTTTTTAAGAGTTTTTGTCAAATATTTTATAATATAGTATAGATTATTGATTTGTTCAATTATATTTGATAATGGCTTAATAAAATAAAAAAGTGGTTTATTCAGTATGTTTTTAAAAGTAAAATTTATGTAAAAGGATAAGTTTTTTTTCTTCAAACATACTCTTCCAATTAAAAAACATGTTCCTTATATCTATGAAAAACTTTCCCAATCTAATGACCTACACAAGCGGATTAATCTACACAAACAGTTTTATCCATACAATACTTAATAGAAAACCAACCAAATAGCCTCTTAATATTATATATATATATATATATATATATATATTTATATCTAATTGTTAGAAGTTTAGTAAATATTTACAAGGAAGGTTTTAGCTAAACAAGCAGTAGAAGTGTATGAACTCTTCCGAGATTAAAGAAATTACACAACAAAACAAGAACTTTTAAATAGTTAATTTATATTAATATCTATATATTTTTTTCAAAATTTTAAGATATCTTCAAATTTATATTTTATTTAAAAATAAAAACATTATCGTGTTTCTCAAAACGACATAAAACCGCATTGTAACATCAATACGGGACAAAATAAAACGAAAAATCGAGATGTATCTCGCTGCATTATGTGAGTACCCTTCTAGTTATCATTAATACAACTAGATACATAGTTATTCATAAGCTCATAATTCGTATAAACTTACAAACTAATATCCACGTGTTATTTCACATATGTAACAAACAATACGGTGAAATAGCAACGTTTATAAAGTGTTGTTTCACATATGAAAAGTTTATACCTGTTTTATGTGTAAAAAGAACAACTCTGAGCATTCTGCATATGAAACAAACTGTATATTCACATGTATGAACTGATTTGTAATAACTAGAATGGTACTCGCACAATGTAGCGAGATACATCTTGATTTTAATGTTTCGTTTTTATTTCTTTTTTTGTCCCAGTCGATGTTATAATACGGTTTTATCTGGTTTTTGAGAAAACAATGATATTTTTATTTTTGAATAAGATATAAATATGAAGATATCATCAAAAATTTAAAAAAAAAATATTGATATCAGTACCAAACTAACTATTGAAAATTTCTCTTTTTTTGTGTATTTCTTTAATTCATTTTTTTTAATTTTTGGTTTAATAATATAAATTTTTATACAAATAATGATCAAGTATTTTGTTAGAAGTCAATGATTATTTTAATTATATTTTAGTTTTTTATACTTAAAATGAGACATTTATTATCTATCCGATTATATTTATATGCAGTTAGTTACACGAATTTAAACATAAAGCTTTAACAAGTTATAATTTCACATAATTTACTTGTAATATTGAACTTTAAGTAATATGCATCAATAAACAGTACTTCATGCATAAAAAATAGTTTTTAAAAATTTTCATCAAATGCTTTATAATACAGTATAGATATAAATTACATTAAAGATATAAAAAAAAGTTAAAGGTTTGAAATCGACTTGTTATTGATTATTAATTTGAAAGCATATTAAAATTTAAAATATCCCAAAACATTAATTTAGATTTGAAAGAGAAATTTGGTTAAAATACAAAATATTTTTGTTTTCCTAATTGATTGATTGACAAAATAGGTGGTGATGGACCCATCTACATTAACTTTGATTCTCATTACATTTTTTTTTCATATTTCATAATTGAAAATAATTCCGACCTAATTCGTTTTTTTGATGTACGATTATAACCGAACACTACTGATAAAGAAACGTAACTGTATTCTTTGCATCTGCCGAACACGCTATGGATACATATCTTTCTTGTTTATCGTTGTACGTAAATTAACCAATTGGAGATAGCAAAACACACTGTAGTCATAGTTATTTAAGGTTGATAACAGGTCTGGGATGAGTAATTTAATAGTTATTTTGTTACCCTGTTAAAAATACAGTAACACAACAAATAATTATCTATATTTATGAAACACAGTGTAGCCAGTTTAGGCTTTGAAAGGACGACTGCCACACTTTTTTTTTCAAGGTCCGGTAAAAGCTGGTTAAAGAAGTTCGGATAAAGCTTGTTGTTTGGCCCCAAACTCAGTATGGACAAGGCTAGAAAAAGTCTGGTCAAAAGTAACTAACTGTGACACCCTCGTTTCACCATGAGTAATGTCACATCGTCATCAATCTCTTTTATAAGAATATCTTCAATGCAAAGTTTTTATAAGTAAAAAAGTGAAGTGGCTTGTAGGAACTATCATTGTGAAGAGTTCTTACAGGTAAAGGTGAGCAAAACCTGGAAAAAACCCGACCCAAAATTGGCTAATAAACCCGAACTCGATATCGATGAAAACCGAACCCGACACCCCATGATTTTTGCGGTTTAGTTGTGATTGGGTTGGGTTTGGGGGTTCGGAATCCGACGACTCAAAATTGGCTAATAAGCCTAGTTCCAATCTATTTCCTTTCTTATTTCATTCTTAAGTTTAATCTAGTAGAGAGTAAAGACCAGCGACAACGACCACCACCAATGAACGCAATGCCGACGAGCCGACAACCATGAACCAGGTTCCGTCGGCCAGTCGACCACCACCAACCAGCCCATCGGCGGCAACAATGCCACCACAATTCCACGCTCAACTTCGAGCCCTCCATGTCCACGTCTCGGTGGTACCACTCGTTTAGTCGATTTCCACTTTCCAATTCCACGTCTCCAACTCCAAGAAAGTAAGTTCTAATTATT